CTGGGGCTGCAGACTACCTGCACGTTTATTTCTGCTCTCTGCTTTGTAATGCAGTACTACAGCTAGTTTCTGGCAAATTGCACCTAGATATTAGACATAGATGCATATGGTTTAAGAATCTGAGTTGAAATGAAACAACATTTGGAAGCCTGATGAATGTTACTACCGTTTTTCAAGTTTTATTAGGTTTTAACATAATGTGTATTGTCTCAAGATATTGTAGATTACTCGCATGAAACTAGGGGTGCAAATAGATAATATATGGATCATAAATTGTACTTATCATATCCCTATCCGCCTACTAATCATGGGTACAATACAAAATTGCGCATACATACATGATTCAATAAGGCCATATCCGTCGAAATTGAATACAGATATGGATTGGATAAGGGAAAACATATACAGACACAAAACGTAAACAAATAAAATGAAAAATATGTTGGCAATGCGAATATGTGATACAAGAGCTGCTTAAATAAAATAAAATTTCTCAAATCAGAGCCCATCCATTTGTTCGACATATCTAGAAAAACTAAGATAAAATTAGTCTTAGGTCCAAACATTTTCAATCATTTGACTGATGCATGCATTCATATATTTGGATACAAATCTGGATATTATACTTATATTGGTATCCTCATTTGTATCCTACCGAAAAAAGATAACCATTTTTGTTTTCGTCTTCCACCACATAGATATTTAGTATCTGATTTCAGTATATGTGTCCCATTGGATACGAATATTAATATATCCATGGATATCCTTATCCTTTTGCATCCCCACATGTGATACACTTGCTTTTTGATCAAATTGTGTTTGATTTTGGGCTCATTGGCAGGTAGTATTCTCGGTGATCTAATTATTATTTTAAGCTAAACTTGAAAAGGAAACCTGAACACTGAAAGACTAGCTTAGCACAAACCATTCTATAGGACTCGGAGTTCCATCATTTACTCCATTTATTCTATGGTTTGATGAGTCTTCGTGACTCCTGCTAAAGGATAGCAGTACCTCCCAGACATTAGGTGATAATTATCTTCACTTCTGCGTAATTCTTCAGCGTCTAACGGTGAAGATGAAGGATACCTTTAATATGTCAAAGTAGAACATCCATTAGTTCTTCAATATAAAATTAAAAAAGGTCGGCACTTTCTTTTATTCTCCACTCAAATCTCTGAGAGGGTGAGTATTAGCACAACAGTATGATCCCAGCTATTCCTTTAGCTATTTGTGTTGGTGTCAAGTGAAATGGGATTTAAAATCAAATATTTTGATAATTGTTTTGATCACTGTTTTCACCTGTCACTCCAGCCATTATGACTATAGTCCAAAGCAGCAGTTATGCCAATCCTACCTTTTGTAACCAAGTTCAACCTTTATTTACAGGAACAAATTATGTCGAGCAGCAACCAGGATCCTGTTCATGATACTCTAAACAGACAAGAACAGGCACCCGAGGAAGATGAGGCTTAGATACATTCAAATTCGTTATTACATACAACATTATTCAATCAAGACCAGCTTTCGATGAATGCAAGAGGGCAGTGGACATCCTCAGACAGTTCCACCTTCAGGGTCTCCATTGCATTTCTGGTTCAAGATCGACGCTGCTGCCCCCCTCAGGTTCTTTGTAGACTCGCTGAGATGAGCTTGTGATGTATATGTCGGATATGAAAAGGGAAAGATTGGTTCTCCTGGGCTTCAAAAGATAATCTAAAAAGGCCAAACGAGTTTGTAAAATTATATGTTGGATGTGAATATCAATATAGTTTATATTTTTCAGGCTTTAGATATGTTTTGAGATGAGATGGGTTGTTTGCTTTCTTTGTGCGTGCGTGTGTGTGTAGCTTGATGCTTGGGTGACTGTTGGCCATAGCACTTTCTTCTTTTTAACTAAACCGGAGCTTAATGCAGATTGGATAGTCACCACCCCCAACAATTTCCATCTCTTTATGGGACATGAGTCTTGTATAGTACTGTGATGATCGTCTTGCCATCGTTTTATTAGGTGATTTGTGGTTTATGAATTATTCTGTTAAAATTTGCGATCGTCTTGTTTGTTGTAATTTACAAAATAACAGTTATTATACTATGTCTGGTTGTTCTGTTGTAGGTTCAATTTCTTTCTGCAAGATTAGTAGCGAAGGAACCACTTTTGTACAAATTGTTGCAGTTTTTTTTTATCTCAAAGATGTAAAAAGGTAGCTCTTTTGTATGTATGTGTAAAAAATGTGCGGGTACTCGTTTGCAAATTGCTACTGCAGTTGCAAATTGTCATGTACTACAGTCTGAAATCGACATACCATGAACCTTTCTCAATTGATCTTGTATTTGTGCTTGAATGAATTATAAGAAAATAAACAAAAAGAAATATAAGGTGCTGATGTCTCTCATCAACGCCTGCTCGGAGATAAGCAAACAAAGACGTAAACGTTTAGGGTTTCGTTTGGATATCATGAAGTTTTTCTTATTGTGTTTTTTAAAAAAAACACCACGGTGTTGTGTTTTCTCCTTAAAATGTTTTCAAAATACCATGTTAAATATTTTTGGTCAACACTAGTTTGACCTATTATAACATTAGTATTAAGAATATTATTAATATATTATATATTAGTTATAATAAAAAATATTATAAATAAAATGTTATAATATTTAGTTTATATTATTATAGTATTATATTATAAAATGTATTATAATATTATATTATACTTTAATGAGTTATATTATATTATAATAATTATTATAATATAATCATTATTATATTATAATTATTACATATTATTTTCAAATAATTATATATTTAATTATTTTAGTATATCAATTTGTTATTGTTGTATATTATATTAATATTTTATAATAATGTTATTTTGTTATTTAGTAATAAATTATTTTACTTTATAGTAAATTATATTATTTATTACATAATATATTAATATTTTATATATTATATTATATTTACTATACAATATGTTATTATAATATTATTATTATATTGTTATGTTATTATTAAATATGCTACTATTATATAATATTTTATAATTATTAATTTATTATAATTTATTTATTAAAAAGTTAATAATATTATTTGTAACTATTATATAATATTTTATATTTATTAATTTTTATAATTTATTTATTAAAAAGTTAATAATATTATAGCGATTATACTATTGTATAATATATTATTATATCATTACTATATTATTATTTATTATCAATAACTTTTTATTATTTTTATTAGTTTATTTATATATTATTATTTATTTATTTTATGATACATTATTAACATATTAAATATTGGTATTTAATATGTTATTATATTATTATATAAGATATTTTATATATTATATTTTAACATTATTTAATAAATAATACAAATATATTAAATTAACTATAATTTAGTATAATATAGTATAATATAATAAGCATGTTGATAATAACTCTATATTAATTATATTTAATATATTATGCTAGATATTATATTAACACTTTTTTTAATTGAAAATACACCATGGTTTCCAAACGCATGGTGTTTTGTTTTTGGTAAAAACACAATGGAAACAAGTAAAACACCATGGTATATCTTCCTAGCCCTTTTTCAGCTCTTAGCTATGTTTTGTGCAAATGATTATTGTTTTTAAATAAAATGGACATGATAATCTATTTTCTTTTTGGTGAATTTCCAAATAAATAAGCAGGAACAGCACACAAATTTAAGTCATTTTTTAAGTTTTTTCAACACCTGTTTAATTTTATTCCCTTTGTTAAACATATCTTAGAAGAAGAAGGGGGAAAAAACCAAGTGACGATCGTAAGATATTTTTGTGTTGTTGGTTTGGTTGAATGAAAAGTTGAATGTGTAGCCTATTTCTCTCTCTCGTTTTATTCAGAATACAAATTAAATACATGGTCCGCATTTTTCTTCCATTTTTAGACGGAAAATTGAACCATGCGGTCCCGTCTTTATCTTTTTGTTTAAATAGAAAGTTGAATTTATTCAAGAATTTGATGATTTGGTAGTGAACTTTATCCACTTCCCTAATCAAAATCTCTACGACACTTGAGTTCTAATTCGGAAGTTTGATAGTGATAACAGTTTTGACGTAGGCCACTTTCAAAATGGAAAATTGAACGGGCGGCCAGTTGTTATCTTTCTATTGAAAATAGAAAGTTGAATTGACTTCAAGATTTTGATGATTTGGGAGCAAACTATACCCACTATGTTCAGCAAATATTCTACCAACATGAAATTTGTATTCAGAAATTTGGCTGTGATCAAATTTTGATCTAGGACACGCTTTTCTTATGCTTTGCTATTCTTGGAAACATATTGGTCCACTAATCTCTGCATAATTTTTATTACCAGTACAAACTTAAGCTCATTTCATATAAAATTTTGACCTAGGACATACTTCCTTATGCTTCACGATTCTTTGGGGGGTGGGGGTGGGGGTGGGGAGTTTCTACCAGCACAAAGTTAAGCCTATTTAGATAAATATATTTCACCGGGCCCCACGTGTAGGAAAATGGACAAGGGAAACGTGGAATACATACAAGATGTTAATCTACTAACTATACTAACAGATCGGATTAGGGGTTTGTTGGCTATTAGTCCCTAAAATATTTACTATTTGAAATTAGTCACTCGAACAATTAAAATTTCTACCAGGTCTCTGCATTTATACTTCGTTTTCAAGTTAGCCCCTCTAGCTTGTTTTGCCGAAATCATTAGTTCTAAGTTAAACAAATTTTAAAAGATTTTTCTCCTCCAACATCTCCCTAACTAATCCAACAAAAGTTTTTATCATTTTTCAAATCTAACAGTTATCGTTTAGAGTAAAATGGTAAACAATTACTCACAATCAAGCGATAGACGCTCAGGATTTAGCATATGGAACGAGTGTTTTAAAAAAGGGACCGATTTGAAAAGCTCACAACGTATGGAGACACAATCCTTTTATGTTAATTTTTTGACATGAAATGCCAATTACACCCCTTTATGTTTGCTCGTATCCGTTCTAATGAAACCCGTTTATACCACAACCTCGTTCTAACCCCGCGCGGTCTAGTGAAATTTCCTTCACCAACATTCGTCTCTTCTCTCTAAACCATCCAGCAACAGTTGTCTCCTCTTTCAAATCTAACGCGTATCGTTTAGTGCCGAAATGGTAAATAATCGTTCGCAATTAAACACTATCCAGCCGGGGATTAGCTGATTGGACGAGAATTTTAACAGGAGGGCCAATTAGAAGGAGTTATAAGATATGGGGACCCCGAAGCAACTCCAATTATTTAAGGGACTAGTACAAAATGTGTCACTAGTAATGGCCCAGGACTTGATCTATTTCTCATTGAAGGACCGGCATTATCGCCCCCAAACACAAGACATCTCCTCCAGCTCTCCGGTGGTCCCCACCAAAACTCGCAACACCCACCTCCCTCCCTTCAAACGGCGGCATGCCGCCTCGAATTACAACCCCACTCAACTCAACTGATCACTTCACTCTTCACTTCCCCCTCCCTCACATATAAATTCCACTTTAAACCCAAAAAAAAAAAAACCCTACCAAAATCTGAAATTTCATCAAAACCCCCCCAAAAACCCTTCATCTTCCTTCTCAATGGAGGAGAGCTTCGCAGCGATGAGGACGAACCTTCTGGATAACGCAGCGCCCAAGAATTCTAACCCATCTCTCAATTCGTCGGCCCTCCACCAATCCCAATAATTACAATTACCCCTACCCCCTCCTCCTCCCCCTTCTCCTTTCCCCTCTCACTACGTTCACCCTCCTCAGTCCGCCGGAGGACACACCCCTCCTCACGCGGCGCGTCGTCCTCACAGCATGGTCCCCGCTCACAGTGAACCGGAGACCTCGATCACCATGCACTCGATGATGGCCTTCGGCGGGCGTTCGCAGCATCAGGACACCAACTTCTTGAGCTCCGAAAGGACATCGTCGACGGTCCATTCTACACGATCTCCGCAGCGCTCAGGTCGCCGTCGCCGAGTCCGTGGCGCAGCACGTGCTGCCAGCCAGAGCAGGCTGGCTCAAGGGCAGTTCTAGCGGGATTTTCCCCGCGCGCCGCCGCAGATCGGCGGCGCGAGGGGTGATCGAGGGTCAAGCCGTCTGGGCTCAGTTCGGCGCCAAGGGTTTGGACGTCTTGAACCAAGGGTCGCTGTTCGTAACGGTTTCGGGTCCGTCGGCGATTTCATCGGACGGTGTTCGGGAGATTTTTGAGGCTTTCGGTAGGCCACAACATCTTTGTTTTTTTTTGTTTACTAAAAATGGAAGGTTCTTGGTCTAAAGATCTCAAATTTGCTGCTATTTTTTTTTAGGGCCAGTGAAGGAGGTGAGAGAGTCGCCAACGAGGATCCAAAACAAATTCGTCGAATTCTTCGACGTTCGGGACGCCGCTCGAGCGCACAACGAACTCAGCGGCCGCGACGTCGGGGCGGGCGGGGTTCGCCTCACCGTGACTTCCAGCAGAACCAGAGGCCTTCGAATCAAGGGGTAAAGAATCGCAATTTTAGCTGCTGTTATCATTATTCTCGTTGCTATTTTTCAGTACGTAGATCTTTACTGCAATTTTTTTATTCCATCCGCAGTTATAATCAGGCAGAATCACGACAGCAGAACAGGGCGGTCGAGCCACAGAAGCTTTCCCGCTGGCCCGGCCGAGGCTCGCAACGGAGCAGTTTCTCAGGCAGCACAGCGACGCAGCGCGGGAAGCAGCTGCGCAGCAGTGCGCCAGAATCAGCAGTGTTTCCAAAAACAGCGTCAACAGCAGCAACAAACAAGGAAAGAAAAACAAAGGGGATAATAGTAACAACCGCCCGTCATCGTCAACACCATCATCGAAGCAAGGAGGAGGAGGAGGAGGGAGCATAAGAAAGAACTGGAAGAATTATTACGGATCAAAGAACAGTGGCACTAATGCTAAAAGCAGCAGCAGTGATTCCTGCAGGTTTGAGATTAAAGAGGCAGCAGTCGCTGTAGTAGAGGGATCGGCATCATCATCATCAGGTGGATCATCATCATCATCATCATCATCATGTATGAGAGATGCTCGCACTACAGTGATGATTAAAAACATACCCAACAAGTACAGGTCTCTTTCCTTCTCCTCCTGCCACCTGCCCCCTCGCCCCACGCCTCCACCTTATCTTTATGTATATGTCCATACCATGCATCCATACATCCATACATCCATAATTTTATGGTGAATTTCGTATATTTTAAAAAAAAACATTTTTTTGCAGTCAGAAGCTGCTGTTGAACATGCTTGACAACCACTGCATCCACTGCAATGAGCAGATTGGGGAAGGAGGAGGAGACGAGCCCTTGTCCGCCTATGATTTCGTTTACCTCCCCATCGATTTTAAGTAAGTCAAACCCAGAATTATCTGCTTTCAACTAATTAATTATTTGTTTATGTGGAAGAGCATGAGAAACTTTTGACAAACCCACAGTCCGAAAAATGAGAGGAAAGAGGAAGCGCAGCGGATGCTGGAGCTTGACCCTGGCAGAGCCTAGAAATTAGCCCAGAATAGAAAAGAGAGAGAAGGGATCAAGGATCAATGAAAGAGCAGCGCGGTTATTAGTAAAATCCAATACAAAAGGAATTACAAAAGACCTCGTTATTATTATTTCTCTTATTTCCCTCTCCTCTCTCTCTCTCTCTCATTGTCCTCCGTACGCTGCGCCATCGACCTCTTAACCCAAATAATAATAAGGTAAAAATGGAGGGTAGCTGACAAAATGAAGACAGCTGGTATCATTCCTCAATAGCAAATTAAGCGAGGAAAAGGAAATTCATGGAAACCCTAATCTTTGATCACGAGAAGAGCGAGTATTTGTTTGCAGGTATTATCATTGTATGGGAAATGGGTGAGGGTAAAAGTGGAGGCGATCAATTCCCTGGGCAAGAGTTTTTTTCTTCTTCTTTTTTTCTTTGTGCGTTTTTGATGTTTTCGAGTAAGTTTGAAAAGACCCATCAAATTAAGACTTAAGCCACAATAGAATACGAATTGGTTATTAACAATAGTATCTTTTCTTTTGGATGAGGGTTTTGCTTGTTTAGGCCTTCCTCATCTTGCATCTTTCTGCATTTGCATAAAAGACGGTTGAAAGCTTGGAAAGTCTGTAAAAAGAGATTACACATAAAATAATAGAGAAAAGAGAGGTTTTTTTGTTTTAATTTTTCGTAGTATCATGTATTATAATAATGTCTAACCGATTTAATTTTTCCAGTAACAAGTGCAATGTTGGGTACGGATTCGTGAACCTAACGTCGCCGGAGGCGGCGGTGCGGCTATACAAAGCATTCCATATGCAGCCATGGGAGGTTTTCAACTCCCGCAAGATTTGCCAAGTCACCTACGCTCGATTGCAGGTATAAAACTTTGAATCTTGATGGCTTTTGAATTTTTTTAGGGTTCTAATTTCTTTTTTGTACTGACTATCAAACCATAGGGTTTGGAGGTCCTGAAGGAGCATTTTAGGAACTCCAAATTCGCGTGCGATAACGATGAGTACTTGCCGGTGGTGTTCGAGCCAGCGAGGGACGGCGCCGAAGCAGTGGGGATTTGCTGGCGAAAATTCCCTCAGAGGGCGATGACGGTGATGACGACGATAGCAAAGGAGCGGATGAAGAGGAGGTGCTATTAGCCTCCTTGTCTTTGCAAATGCAGCAGCTTCAGGTATCATCGTCATCACCATCATCCTATATCTAAAGAGTTGATTGATGAGACTACTACTACTGTCTGGTTTCAGTTTTAATTACACACCCTCTCTCTCTCTCTCTCTCCCTTGAGAATTTAAACTTGGAATGATGCATTTGGGTGTATATCCAGGGACTTGTTCCTGTTTTTTTTTTTTTTTTTTTAATTTTGGGTTTGGATGTATTTTTCTTCTTCTTTTTGTTCCTTCTTTTTTGATGGTGATGATGATGCCTTTCTCATCTCATTAAATGCACCAGCAGCACAGCACAATCTTGAGCTCTCGGAAAAGACAACTGTAGTAGTGACTACTTGCTAGCTAGACTAGTGGGGCGTACAAATATCATTACATACATACTGTTACCATGATCCTGATGCATGTATTTCTTTACGGACTCTTCTACGGTATCTT